TGGGGGGTAGGGGAGGGATAGCATTAAGAGAAATACTAATGTAGATAATAGGGTGATGGATGCAGAAAAAACTACCATGGTACATATATACCTATGTGACAAACCTGTAGGTTCTGCACATGTACCCCAGAACTTAAAGTATAATGAACACACACACACACACACACACACACACACACACACATAAAAGAAAACCAGCAGAAGACAAAGACGCCCTTTCTCACCACTGCTATTCAATATAGTATTGAAAGCTCTGGCCAGGGCAATCAGGCAAGAAAAAGAAATAAAGTGTATTCAATTAGGAAAAGAAGAAGTCAAATTGGCTCTATTTGTGGGTGATATGATTGTATATTTAGAAGACCCCATCATCCTAGCCCAAAATCTCTTTAAGCTGATAAGCAACTTCAGCAAAGTCTCAGGGTACAAAATCAGTGTGCAAAAATCACAAGCATTCCTATACACCTATAATAGAAAAGCAGAGAGCCAAATCATGAGTGAACTCTCATTCACAATTGCTGCAAAGAGAATAAAATACCTAGGAATACAACTTACAAGGGATGCAAAGGACCTCTTCAAAGAGAACTACAAACTGTTGCTCAAGGTAATGAGAGGACACAAACAAATGGAAAAACATTCCATGCTCATGGTTAGGAAGAATCAATATTGTGAAAATGACCATACTGCCCAAAGTAATTTTATAGATTCACTGCTATCCCCATCAAGCTACCACTGACTTCACAGAATTGGGAAAAAAACTACTTTAAATTTCATACAGAACCAAAAAAGAGCCCGCATAGCCAAGATAATTCTAAGCAAAAAGAGCAAAGCTGGAGGCATCACGCTACCACACTTCAAGCTATACTATAAGGCTACAGTAATCAAAACAGCATGGTACTTGTACCAAAACAAATATATAGACCAATGAAACAGAACAGAGGCCTCAGAAATAATGCCACCCAAAGTGAACAGGCAACCTACAACATGGGAGAAAATTTTTGCAATTTCTCTATCCAACAAAGGGCTAATATCCATAATCTACAAAGAACTTCAACAAATTTACAAGAATAAAACAACCCCATCAAAAAGTGGGCAAAGAATGTGAACACACACTTCTCAAAAGGAGACATTTATGCAGCCAACAAACATGGGGAAAAAAAAAGCTCATCATCACTAGTTATTAGAGAAATGCACATCAAAACCACAATGAGATGCTAGTTAGAATGGCTATAATTAAAAAGTCAGGAGACAACAGATGCTGGAGAGGATGTGGACAAATAGGAATGCTTTTACACTGTTTGGGGGAGCATAAAATTAGTTCAACCATTGTAAAAGACAGTGTGGCAATTCTTCAAGGATCTAGAACTAGAAATACCATTTGACCCAGCAATTCCCTTACTGGCTATATACCCAAAGGAGTTTTGTTACTTTTGTGGTGTCCTGTTTTCCTGATTGTAATCCTTGTGGCCATGAACTGGTATTTGCCCATCTGAAAAACTAAGGACTTATTTCAGTCTTTGCAGGCTGGCTTCAGCTGGGAAAGCCCTTCATCAGCCAACCTGTCCAGAGATTCTAGGAGAGCTTTCTGGTGTGGTCCATGGGCAGACTTACTGCTGGAGTCCTCAAGTAGGCTGGCCTGGTTCCTGTGTGAATAGGGGAGTAGGCCCGGTGTCTGGATCCGTGGCAACCATCCCAGCACTGGAGTCTACTGGGATGGTCCTGGACCCTGAGTTTACTAGAGTAGGCCTGGATCCAGGCACTACTGGAGTGTGAGGCCACAGGGGCTTGCCTGGCACTGGGCAAGTGTAGAGCCTATGTCTGTGGGGGCTGGGTATGTGGGTGCCAGCCTGGTTCCTGAGGCCATTGGTACTGACCTGGCTCTGGTGTGTGGCTGGAGGTTTGGTCTTTGGGCAATTGCCCAAAGTCGGGTTGAAGAGATCAGCTTAGTACTGGATTGGGCCTGAAGCCTGGGGCTGTGTGGGCCAGCCTTGTTTTGGGCTGGGTTGGAGCCTGATCTGGGCCTGAAGCCTGAGCTTGAATGGGCCAGCCTGAAACCTCGGGCCATCAGGGATGGCCTGGCACTGGACAGACCTGGAGTCTGTACCCATGAGGGCTATATTGGAGGCTGAATCTTTTGGTGCTGGCCTGGTACCAGAGACCATGGGGGCCAGCCTGGAGCTGAGGTCCATGGGTGTCAATGTGGCACTGGGACAGACCCAAAGCCTGGAGGTGTGAAGGGTAGTCTGGAGCTGAGTTGGTCTGGATACTGGGTCTCTGGATATTGGCCTTAAAGTGGAGTCCAGATGTGCTGGTTTTGTGATAGAAAGGGCCTGGAGAAGTGGCTGGCCTGAAGCCTGAGGCTGAAGGGGCTGTCTTGGAATAAGTGCAAGTCTGGAGGTATGACCTGGAGTCTGGGACTATTTGCCCAGGTATGGGAGACTGCATCTGCACGCATGGCCTGGACCCTGGAGCTACAATGGCTAGCCTAGTGTCCAAGTCTGTGGGGACCAGCCTAAAATCCGGGGTAATCATGGCTTGTCCAGGGCTAGACTTTACTGTGTCAGGCCGAGTGCTGGGGTCTGAGTCAAAGTCTGGTGTTCACATCCCTCTTCTTCTCCCAAGCAAAGAGCATCTTTCTGCATACTGTGTTGGCTGGAATTGAGGAAGGCATAACAGGTAATTTAAAACTGTCCTGCTAAAGAGAAAAATAAAGGAAAAGAGAGAAGTGTTGAATATTACGGAAAGGAGTGATGTTGCAATGTTACATTGAGTGTCCAGAGAAAAGCTTCACTTAGAAAGAAATACCCATGAAAGACCTGAATGAAAAGTGGGAGCCAGGCATGTGCATATGTGAGAGAATGTGCATATGTCTCCCTCATGTAAGGGCAGACCAAGTGAAAAAGTCCCGGGGCAGGAGTTTTTCAGGCCTACTTGCACAATAGCAAGAAGATCTGTGTCATAAGTGAGTGAGTGAGGGATATGGGAGAAGAGAGGTAAGGTGGGATCACATCATGTGGGTTCTTATAGGCGACTGTAATGAATTAGGCCGTGATTCAGTAAGATAAGATGATTGCAGAGCACTGAGTAGGGGAAGGACATCACTCTGGCTTCTGGATGGTTAATAAACTGGGTGGGAAAGGAGGTGGTTCATATCATGTGGGTCCTTGTAGACCACTATGAGCACTTGGACTCTAATTCTGAGTGAGTTGAGGACATTGCAGGGTCATAAGTAGGGAAAAGACATGATACGACTTACATTTTGACATGATTGCTCTGTCTATGGGTGGAGAATGTTCCAGCTATATGAGGGGGCATGTTTGGGAGTAGGGAGAAGAGTCAGAAGGCTGTTACAGTAATATAGGCTTTGGACTGGGCAGGGGCAGGGAAGATGGACATATTCTGGATACATTTTGAAAGGTAAGCTGATCAGAGTTGCTGATAAATCAAATGTGGAGTTAGAGGGAAAGAGAGGAATCAAGAAAGATACCTAAGTTTTTGACCTGACTATTTCTAGCTTCCAGTGAGTTTTTTCATGAAAAGGAATTGAGTTTTTAGCCTTTGTTTGTATTATATATATTTAAGGTATATAACATGATGTCTTGATATACATATATATAGTGAAATGATTACTACAGTCAAGCAAACTAACATATCCATCGCTTCATATAGTTACCTTTTGTATACGGTAAGAGCACCTAAAATCTACATTTTGCAAATTTTCAGTTTACAATATTATCAAATATAGTACTCATCTTTTACATTGTATCTCTAGACTTACTCATTCTATGTAACTGCAACTTTGTACCCTTCTACCTACATCTCCCTATTTCCTCCCAATCACTGCTTCATTTTTTGTTTCTATATATTTGACCCTTTAATGATACCACACATAAGTGAGATCATGGAGTATTTGTCTTTCTGTGCCTGGCTTATTTCACTTATCATAATGTTTATCCATGTTGTTATAAATGACAGGATTTTATATTTTTAAGGCTGATTAATATTGTTATATAAATATATCACAACTTCTATATCCATTAATCTATTGATGGGAACATAGGTTGTAGGTTGTTTCTATATATTGGCCTTTGTGAGTAATGCTGCAGTGAACATGTGAGCACAGATAGCTCCATGAGGTGCTGAGTTTTTATTGAATACTTTTCTGCATCTAGTCATGATCATATGGGTTTTCTAATTTGATTCATTAATGTGGTGAATTATATTATTATGTTATTTTATTTAATTATTCTAACTGAGCTTTGGATTACTAAGAGAGGATATCTTAGCTATTTTTTTCCATTTTCTCCATCCTATTTATTCCTTCATTTGTTTTCTAAGTTGCAATATTTGAAACCATATATACATATATTTTGAGATGGAGTCTTGCTCTTGTTGCCCAGGCTGTAGTGCAGTGGTGCAATCTCGGCTCACTGCAACCTCCGCCTCCCAACTTCAAGCAATTCTCCTGCCTCAGCCTCCCAAGTAGCTTGGACTGCAAGTGCCCACCACCATACCTGGCTAATTTTTGTATTTTTTGTAGAGACAGGGTTTCTCCATGTTGGTCAGGCTGGTCTCAAACTCCTGACCTCAGGTGATTCGCCCGCTTTGGCCCCCCAAAGTGCTGGGGTTACAGGTGTGAGCCACTGCGCCTGGCAGAAACCATAATTTTCTACTATTCATCTCTGAAAATGTTTTGTATTGACAGTATATCTTCTTCCAAATAGCCTTTTTGGAACAAGTAGATAAACCTAGCCACCATTTGAAACATTGTTTCTACAGATAAATGAGCATTGGATTCCAGACAACTGATTTCCCTGTGAACTTTAGAAACTAAAGTGTTCTGAGACTGGAAAAAAATATAAACTTTTACTGGGAGACTTCTGAGGATGTTTAGTTTCCAGCACAATTTTCCAGAACTTCCATTTTCAGTATAGTGCAAGCTAGGGCACCTGATCTCTGTTATGTTATGTACAAATAATAGCTCACTCATGTTCTTTTTTAAGGTATCCTCACCTGAGTCCCAAGTACAAGGAGTCTTTTGATGTGGGCTGTAACCTCTTTGCCAAGTTCTCTGCATACATTAAGAATACACAAAAGGAGGCAAATAAAAGTAAGATACCTTTCTTTATTTTTCTCTCACTCTTCATATTCTTACTCAGCAAAAATAGACTTTTCCAAAATGTATAGTATATTTCAGGGAATAGCGTAGTCTTCCCCTCAGTCTCTGTTCTCTCCTCTGAAATTCCCTTGTATTAAGTTTTATTAGATTTAGAACTCAAGATTCAATATAGCAATTACCAACACAGCTCAATTAGAATGTTGACATACCAGGTGTGAACTAACTGCAAGACTATGTACCTTTAAGTTTTCTTAAACTGTGGCAGCTACCATTTCCCATGAACATTCTTAAACAGGTTTATTATCCTCTGAGTCACAAGAAGTGTGTGTTTTCTTCACTTTCTAACTCTTCTGAGTTGGAGAACATATATCACTTTTCCTTCTTTCTTTTACTCTCCTACCAGTGTAACTCCCTAAGAAAAGTCCAAAAGATTTACACTCACTATTCAATCTTACTTTCTGTTATCAGTAAGTAGTTGAGCATTCTAATAGTTAACTAGATGTTGAAGAGCCAGCGTGAGCAATGTGTATAGATAGAGGTACCTAAATCTATGGAAAGCATATTTAGAAAGCATTTAGTCATAAAGACAATACATTTACAAGTAACTTTATTACTTCATTGCCTCAGATTTTGAAAAATCTCTGCTCAAAGAATTCAAGCGTCTGGATGACTACTTAAACACCCCACTTCTGGATGAAATTGATCCAGACAGTGCTGAGGAACCCACAGTTTCCAGAAGACTGTTTTTGGATGGGAATCAGCTAACACTGGCTGATTGTAGCTTGTTACCCAAGCTGAACATTATTAAAGTAAGTATTTATAGGGTAGGCTGAATGGGTGGGAGGGGTTTACCAGTTGCCAGCACAAAGCACAGTGACCTTCCAGTGTGGTATTATAGTATAACTTTGTCATCATCATCATGTGTATACATCTCTTTTTTTCTCTTTAGAGGAAAGATCCATAATAACCTCTTCTGAGAAGTATTAAAACTTGTTGTTGTTGTTTTTTTCTTTTTGAGATAGGATCTGTTGGCCAGGTTGGAGTGCAGTGGCATGATCAAGGCTTACTGCAACCCCCACCTCCCAGGCTCAAGCAATCCTCCGACCCCAGCCTCTTGAGTAGTTGGGACTACAGGCACGTGCCACCATGCCAAGCTAATTTTTTGTACTTTTTGTAGCAACAGGGTTTTGCCATGTTGTACAGGCTGGTTTTGAACTCCTAGGCTCAAGTGATTTGCCTGCCTTGGCCTCCCAAAGTACTAGGATTACAGGCATGAGCCACCATGCCCAGCCAAAACTTTCTTTCTTTCTAAATCAGAAGGTGTTTTCTGCTGTCTTGTCTATAAAGTAAGAATAATATTACCCATTTTACAGAATTGTTAAGAGAATTAAACAAATTAAAGCATTTAAAATGCTTGGAACAGTGCCTGGATTGTAATAGGGGATAACCAATGTAGGCTATTAATATTATGATGAATTTATCATAAATTTAACAAATATGTATTGAACAGACTTACACCAAATTTACTCTCTGAGTTCTATGCCAAACACAGAGGATACATAAAGAAGTAAGACATAGGACTTAAAATAAACTCTTAGGCTAGTGGTGGTGGATATGTGCTCATTTTCTTTGCTTCCTTCTACTAAATATAGTCATAATTAAATACAGAATCAGTATAAACATGATTGTAAGCTCTGGCTTTGTCAACGTTCGTAGGCAAAACGTCAAAATAGTCCAAGATTCAAGTCTACTTCATAGTTTATTTTCTGGTACTTTTTGTGTCAATAAGATGCCTTTGATAATCCTGACTTTTAAGATATATTTCTACATAGTAGGCATATTACTGATGCCTTTTACTACCAACTTCTTTTTCCCTTTTTTTTGCAAAATTTTAGGTTGCTGCCAAGAAATATCGTGACTTTGACATTCCAGCAGAATTCTCAGGTGTCTGGCGTTATCTCCACAATGCCTATGCCCGTGAAGAATTTACCCACACATGTCCTGAAGACAAAGAAATTGAAAATACTTATGCAAATGTGGCTAAACAGAAGAGTTAGGATAGCTCTTACAGGAGAAAAGGCTATGTTTGTAATCAGATTTTACATATTGACACATTAGAAAGGGTTTGCCAATAAGAATATAAAAAATACTGCTTCTTCTATCCAACTCTCTTATGAAAAGAAACTCTATTTTCTGTTAGCCATAAACAATCTGTCCACTGTGTATTTTACAGTTCTTCATACTTTTACCTAATTTTCTTTATCCATATGACAAGCCACTGCAATCCTGAATGACATGGAAAGCATCACAATCTTTTGTCTTTTGCTTGAATTCCTGGAATGCATATGTATAAGCTGAACAGATGTCTGTAGTTATAAATGTCATAAGTAGAGGTAACAATCTCACCCTGTTCCTTAGAAACATTTCCATATAAATCATTAAATGATTAAATAATTTCACATTTTTATTAGTTTAATATATACATGAGTTTATTTCTGATATAAATAAATTCAGAGAGTGAGCATATCAGAGAGGCAAATTCTGAAAGAATGATTACTTGCATGATTATTGCAGCACTGTTCACAATAGAAAAGACGTGGAACCAACCCAAATGGTTATCCAGCCCATCAATGATAGACTGGATAAAGAAAATGTGGCACATATACACCATGGAATACTATGCAGCCATAAAAAAGATAAGTTCATGTCCTTTGCAGGGACATGGATGAGGCTGGAAACCATCATTCTCAGCAAACTGACACAAGAACAGAAAACCAAACACTGCATGTTCTCACTCATAGGTGGGAGTTGAACAATGAGAACACACAGACACAAGGAGGGGAACATCACTCACTGGGGCCTGTCAGGAAGTGGGGTTTTAGGGGAGGGCTAGCATTAGGAGAAATACCTAATGTAAATGATGGGTTGATGGGTACAGCAAACCACCATGGCATGTGTATACCTATGTAACAAATCTGCACATTCTTCACATGTGCCCCAGAACTTAAAGTATAATAAAAAAAACCACCTCCTCTAAGCTCCTGATATTGGCTATAATTAAATAGAAAAGCAGCAAAAAAATAAAGTCAGCTCTAGGAAGAGATCAAGATCAGTTGGTTGTAGAACAGCATTTGCGCCTAGAACTATGATCACCTCATGGTCAGAGATGAGAATGTAGCCTTTGTGACCTTTGTTAAATGAAGAAGCATTCACTAAACAAAACATAATTTTAAAAAACAAGATGAGAAACAAATCAACCATATCTTTTATTCATAGAAATGAAAAGGAAAATAAGAAATGTGGCTGACGATAGGTCTTGTTGCTGTCCATAAAAGGATAAGGTAAACAGTCCTTAGATAATTACAAAATTTTCTACAAAAGTTAAAGTGTTGCATTACTACATGTATTCAGATTCACTTGTCAAAGTATTCTTAAATCGTCCAAATCTGAAAACAAAAGCTGAACTTAACTCTTGCTCCCTCAAAGGAGAAACACAAGTGTAAGTGCAGCTTCAAAAAAGGAAAATACAGGATTCTTTTAGGCTTTAGGGGAAGGGTGGAGTTTAGATAAAATTTAAATGAAGTGGTGGTTTAATAGGTTCAAAGAAAAGTAAAGCAATGAGCAAGCTCAAAGTTGTCCTTGAAAACCATAGAGTCAAGATAAATGTTTAGTGTATAGTTAGGTGGCAGAGAACTGCAATTATGTTGACAATCTTTGAGATACATCCTCTCATCAGCATATTTCAGAACACATGCAATAGACTAGCAAGTTACAATTGATAAAATACATTTGAAAAATGTGTAAGCTTTTAAATGCCATTAGTACAGGTTTTAGATTTAACTGCTTTAATGTTTACTGAGTAAAAATGCCATTTGAAATCAGTGAGACAAGGAGAAAAACAGATTTTAGGTGTTTATCCTATATATCATTTTTCATTGTTTATGTTACTACAAAGTAGTAAAAAGTGATCCATAAAAAAAGTACAGTGGGTCAGGTGCAGTGACTCATGCCTGTAATCTTAGCACTTTAGGAGGCCAAGGCAGGTGGATCACTTGAGCTCAGGAGTTTGAGACCAGCCTGAGCAACATGCAAAAGCCCATCTCTATAAATATAATTTTTTAAAATTAGCTGGGCATGGTGGTGTGCACCTGTAGTCCAAGCTACTCAGGAGGCTGAGGTAAGAGAAACCTGAGCCTGGAGATCAAGGCTGCAATGAGGTGTGACCCTGCCATGGCACTCCAACCTGGGTGACAGAGTGAGACCCTGTCTCAAAAAAAAAGCATAGCATAGTGTCTCCTCTCTACTGGAAGATCCGTGATCTAAGAAATTACACCTGAACTGAACAGTGGGCTTGTGGCTTCTCTGAACATCTCAGATTCTTCCACTTTCATGAATAGGATTTCGAAAATTAAAGTTTTTTTAAAGATCTGAGATTTTAAAGAACAAAGCTTCTCAGTACCATGCCTTGAAATTCATTAGCAGAGGTGTTTTTACAAACTTACCTCATACTTCAAGTATGTTCATGTCACTCAGGTGTACTGCAGTGCTATTGACAATACCCAAGCAATGGAATCAACCTAAGCATCCATCAACAGATGAATGGATACAGAAAATGTGGTATATATACATAATGGAATATTATTCAGCAATAAAATAAAATTAAATTATCTTATTTGTGACAACATTGATAAATTTGGAGGACATTATGTTAAATAAGCCAGGCACAGAAAGACAAATACCACATGATCTCACTCATATGTGGAATTTTTAAAAGTTGATCTCACAGAAGTAGAAGGTAGAATCATGGTTACCAGAGGCTGGGGAAAGAAAGCAGAGGCACTGAAAGATGTTGGTCAATGGGTGTAAAGTTGCACCTACAAAGAATAAATTTTGGTATTCATTGCACAGTAAGGTGACTACAGCAAATAACAATATTTCAAGAGAGATAGAAAAGCAGATTTTAAATGTTGTCACCACAAAGAAATAACAAATGTTTATAGCTATGGATATGGTAGTTACCCCATTTGATCATTATACCATGTATACATGCATTGAAACACCACATTGTATCCCATAAATATGTACAATTATGTGCCCATTATACATTTTAAAAATAAATTTTAAAAACCTTCAATTAAACAACTCGATTTAAAGGAAAAATATAAACCAAAACTACAGTATCTCTAAAACAAATAATGATGGTGTAAACACTTCATATCAGAATCTATGGGATAAATATAAAGCAGTAATCAAAGGAAATTTTATAACACTGAACACTGCTATTAGCAAAATAAAAGATTGAAAATAAATTTATTAAATAGTGAGCTAACAAAAACCTAAAAAATATGCACAACAATGTGAATATACTTAACACTTCTCAACTGTTTGCATCAAAATAGTTGATGATGAGTTTTAAGCTATGTGTTTTTAACAAAAAAGAAAGAAAGAAAGAAAGGATCTTGGTAGAGCACCAGAAAAAAAAAAGAAAGAAACTTAGAATAAGTACAACAAAGTAAGTAAAATAACACAAGAAAATAATCAATAAAGATAAGAAGGATATGAACAGACACTTCTCAAAAGAAGACATTTATGCAGCCAACAAACATATGAAAAAATGCTCATTAGAGAAATGCAATTCAAAACCACAATGAGATACCATCTCATGCCAGTTAGAATAATGATCATTAAAAACTCAGGAAACAAGAGATTCTGAAGAGGATGTGGAGAAATACAAATGCCTTTACACTGTTGGTGGGAGTGTTAATTAATTCAACCATTGTGGAAGACAGCATGGTGATTCCTCAAGGATCTTGAACTAGAAATACCATTTGACCCAGCAGTCCCATTACTGAGTATATAACCAAAGGATTATAAATCATTTTACTATGAAGACACTTGCCCATGTATGCTTATTGCAGCACTGTTCACAATGGCAAAGACTTGGAATCAACCCAAATGTCCATCAATGATAGACTAGATAAAGAAAATGTGGAACATATACACTGTGGAATACTATGCAGCCATAAAAAAGGATGAGTTCATGTTCTTTGTAGGGACATGGATGAAGCTGGAAACCATCATTCTCTGCAAAGTGACACAAGAACAGAAAACCAAACACTGAATGTTCTCACTCATAGGCAGGTGTTGAACAATGAGAACACATGGACACAGGGATGGGAACATCATGCACCAGGGCCTGTCTGGGGGTGGGGGGCTAGGGGAGAGCTAGCATTAGGAGACATACCTAATGTAGATGACAGGGTGATGGATGCAGCAAACCACCATTGTACAGGTATACCTATGTAACAAACCTGCACATTCTGCACATGTACCCCCTGAACTTAAAGTATAATTTTAAATTTTTTTTTTGAAAGAGATTCACTGAGGCCTGGTGTGGTGGCTCATGCCTGTAATCCCAGCAGTCTGGAAGGTCCAGGCAGGTGGATCACTTGAGGTCAGGAGTTTGAGACCAGCCCAGCGAACATGGTGAAGTCCAATCTCTACTAAAAATACAAAAATTAGCCAGGTGTGGTGACACATGACAGTAGTCCCAGCTACTTGAGAGGCTGAGGCAGGAGAATTGCTTGAACCTGGTAGGCAGAGGTTGCAGTGGTCTGAGATCACACCACTGCACTACAGCCTGGGTGACAAAGGTAGACTCTGTCTCAAAAAAAAGAAAAGAACTATATAGGAATAATGTTTCTCTATGTCAATAGAATAATGCTAGTATAAATCTAAAGGTGATTCTGATAAGTCAGGATGTATATGGTAAGCTCTAAAGCAACCACTAAAAAAAATAGTGAAAAAAATCTTACTCAAGAGTTAAGAAACTGAAATGGTACATCAAAAAATACTCACTTAGTGTAAAAGAAAGCAATAAGAGAAGACTAGAGGAACAAAATGTATAGAAAAACAAATAAATGGTTGACATAAATCCCACTATACCAATAAATAACATTAAATGTGTACAGATTAACCAATCTGTTTAAAGAAAAGCAAAGATTATATGGCTAGATGTTTCAAATGACACAATTATATGCTGTCTACAGGAGACACTTTATGTTGAAAGACACAAAGTGAAAGTAAAACGATGGAAAAAGACATATCATGCAAACAATAACCACAAGAAAGCTGAAGTGACTACACTAATATCAGAAAAATAAACTTCAAAACAAAAACAGCTACTAGAGATAAAGAAGAACATTTCATAATACAAAAGAGTCAATCTATCAGGAAGATACAACAATTACAAAGATATATACATCTAACAATAGAGCTCCAAAATATATAAAGCAATAACTGACAGT